TTCGGCACACCCCTCACACGTTTCGTGGCCCCATAGGGGGCTCCACCGAAGGTCCACGTGGCGCAGTCCGCATGCGTTTCCCTTGCCCAGTACAGCGTTACGTGGCCCCATATGGAGCCCCACCGCAGGTCCCAGCCAGCCAGCTAGCTCTCTTTGCTCCGCGCAGCGGGCGACCCGCGCGCGTCGCAGGGACCCCTCCGGGGCGACCTGCGCGCGTCGCGGGGGCTCCGTGCTGCCGTTCTGCCCAGCGCCTCGCTCGCCCGTCGTCGCTCTGCCCAGCGGCAAGAGCCTTGCCCGCTATCAGCCAGCCAGCTAGCTCTCTTTGCTCCGCGCAGTGGACGACCCGCGCGCGTCGCTGTGACCCTTCCGGGGCGACCTGCGCGCGTCGCGGGGACTACGCGCTGCGCTGCGCCCGCAGCCTTTTGAGTGCGCGGGCAAAGAGGGAGTAAAGAAAGGGGAGGAAGCGGGCGCGATCCTCGCGGGGGGGCGCGCCGATATTGGCGTCGCGGCGCGCGGGCGATGCCGTCGGGGAGTCCCGGGGAAGCTCCTTGCGGCGGCCACGCCCAGCGTCACGAGTACTCAGAGGCAGTCATTGTCAAACTATTGTCATTCATATACAATTGCACCACGCCTTGTCAGATTCGCATTCATGCACGTAGACTCGCTCGCACGCAGATTCATTCACAGTCAGACGCACGCGCGCAGATTCACCCGCGCTCAGTCTCCCTATGTACTCAGATCAATCGTTTTCGGTCGCGTTCTGTACCGCGCCACTCATGTCGGCACACCCCTAGCACGGTTCGTTGCCTCATAGGGATCGCCACCGAAAAAGTGAATCACTATTGCGGTACTCGCACCTGCATATGGTTGGGTCCCTCGCCAGGCTAATTTTTCAATGTTTCTGGTCTTCTCGTTTTTTCGGCTTTCCGGCGCTCCACGGCCGCCCAAGAGGCCCCCAAGACCGTTCCAAGACGGCCCAAGAGGCCTTCAAGACGGCCCCAAGACGGCCCAAAAAGGCTCGAGGACGGCCCAAGAGTCGCCCAAGACGGCCCAACAGGGCCCCAAAAAGGCCCCAAGAGAGGCCCAACACAGGGACCCGGAACTGAAAAATCGATGCCTCCACCCCAAGGGGCCCCCAGGAAGCCCCACGACGCCCCAAAGAAACGCCAGGACGCTCCCAAAACATCCCCAGGAGGCCCCAGGACGCCCCAAAGAGGCTCCAAGAGCCCCCCAGAGGCCGCCAAGCGCCCCAAAAGGCCCCCAAGAGGCTGCAAAAGAGGGCCCAAGAGGCCCCAATACGCCCCCAAACTGCTACCAAGAAGCCCCCAAACTGTCTCGCAGAGGCTCCCGAGAGGCCAACCACGAGATCCCAACCAACATCCACGAGATCTCTTACCCATTACCCAGGCCCGCGGCGAGATTGCCCGCAGGCCACTGCAGCCGGTTCGGGGGCCCTACGTATACCAGCACCCGCACCCTTGGCTGTATCGGGGGCCTCACCGCTGTTCCCTCGGTTCTGCTGGCTTCGACCCGCCAGAGTTCTGAGCCGCTCCCTGACGGCCCCAGGACGCCCCTGGAGCGCTCCCCGACGGCTCCCGGACTCCCACATCGCTCCAAGACGGCCTCAAACGGGACCCCCAAAGGCGGCCCCCACACAAAGCCTCCGAAGGTCGCCCCTGCCGCCCCAGTAAGCGTGGCCCCCGAACGTCAACGCCACGCGTAGCCACCAGGCGCCCCCAAACGTGGCCCCAACACACAGCCCCCAACCATTGCCTTCAAACGTGACCGTCACATCTGCCCCCGAGCCCCGCACCCTCAAACGCGACCGTCACATGCGCCCCCGAACCCCGCACGCGGCCCCCAAACATGGCCCCCGGCAGGGCCGCGAACGTCGCCCCCAACCATGACCCCCTGACGAGACCCCCCAACGTGGCCTTCAAACGAGGCCCCCCAACGTAGCGCCCAACTCTGGCCCCCACGCGTCCACCCCCCACATCGAACTTCTCGCGCACAGGGACTCTGTAAGATTGCTCGGGTCCCCTTACTCTGATTGTGTCTGACCTACGTGTTTCTGCTAATCGCGCCCAGGCCTCGCGCGATTAGCAAAAACACCTTACTTTTGACGCTTCCAGCGCTTCCGACACGTGCGAGTTCGGGACCAACGCCTGGACCTGCGGGCCGTGGATTTTCCACGGGTTCACACTAGTCTCTACTACATTGCAGGGCCCAGTGCGTGCCAGAATGGTGCAGGCTCCAATGCACCAAAACCGCCCCGGGCTGGCCCCGGGCCGCCCCGGGCCGCCCAGGCAGGCTCCAGGACATGTCGAGAGGGCCCCCACAAGCCCCCAAGACGGCCCCGGAGAGCCCCGGCACGCTTACAGATGGGCCCAAGACGCCCGAGATTCGCCCCAGACGGCCCAAGAGGCGTCCAAGACGCCCGAAGAGGCCTCCCAAGAGGCCTCCCAAGAGGGCCCCGAGCGACAGAAATCGTCGATTTCTATTGTGTTTTTCGATGTTTTCGGCCTCCTCGCCTCTTCGGCTTCCCGACGCTCCAAGACGGCCCAAGAAGTCCCCCCGACCGCTCCAAGACGGCCGAAGAGGACCCCAAGAGAGCCCCAAGACGGGCCAGGAGGGCCCCAAGACGGTCCCAAGACGCCCCAGGACGGCCCCAGGACGGCCCAGGAGGCGCCCAAGACGGCCCAAGAGGCACCCAAGACGGCCCCAGGAGCGGCCCAAGACGGCCCAAGACAGCCCAAGAGGCGCCGAGGCGGGCCTCAGACGGCCCCAAGACGGCCCAAGAGGCACCCAAGACGGCCCGAGAGGGCCCTAAGAGCCCCCCCGGGAGGCCCAAAAGAAGGCCGAAGAGGCTCCGAAACGGCCCCCACGAAGCCTTCAGTGGCTTCAGAATTCCCTCCAGGAGCGGGGGAGCGGACGAGAGGCGACAGGCACGCCGCGCTTGCCCAGAGACCCCTCGCCACGTCGAGCTGATGTCGTGGACGGAGTCCACAGGTCTGCCCTAGTCAGCTACAATGCTGGGATCAGCGCGTGCGGGAAGGGCGAGCAGTGGCAGCGGGCGCTGGAGCTGCTGAGCGAGATGTGGGAAGCGAAGCTGGAGCCCAACGTCATCAGCTACAGTGCTGGGATCAGCGCGTGCGAGAGGGGCGAGCAGTGGGAGCAGGCGCTGGCGCTGCTAAGCAAGATGCGGGAGGCCAAGCTGGAGCACAACGTCATCTCTCACACATGGCCGGCAGAGGCGCGTGCCAGAAGGGCGCGGACCCAAAAGTACCAAACTCGTCCTCGCTGGTCCCGGCGCGCTCCTGGGCGGTCCCGGGATGCCCCAAGACGCCTCGATCGAAGGTTGCAATCCTTCGTTTTTTTGCAATCCTTCGTTTTTTTGCAATCCTTCGTTTTTGTTTGCAATCCTTCGTTTTTTTTGCAATCCTTCGTTTTTTTGCAATCCTTCGTCCATGAGAGCCACCAGATGGCCCCAAGACGGCCCAAGATAGCCCGAGATGCCTTCCGACGGTGCAAGAGGTGGCCAACGTGGCCCCGAGGCCCCACGGAGCTCCACGGCGGCCCCAGAGGGCTCCAAGGAGGCCCCCCCCCTGAGGGCTCCGAGAGGCCTCGTAAGGCGGCCCCGAGGGCCCCAGAGCGCTGATTCCATTCGTTGATTCCTTGATTGCGCAGGGCCCTACGGCCGGTGCCGCCGACCCTGAAGGGCGACGACGACGACGACGACGACGACGACGACGACGACGACGACGAGGACGACCCTCGCGAGCCCTCGTGGGGGCCATCATGGGCCCTGTTGGCCTCAGGCCCCGCCCCACAGGATCCTCCTTGGGACCGCCCCCAACGATGCCCTCCGGGGACCGCCCCCCCTCCCCGGCGGGGAAGGGATCAAACGCCTTCTCTGCGACCGGATTGGTGTTCCCCCTCTTGCGGCTCTGTGGGGCTCTCTTGGGCCGTTGGGATCCCTCCCGGAGGTGGGGGGGTGCGACCCCCTCGGGAGCCCCCCCCCCCCCCCGGCAAAGGGAAGGGATCGCTGGGAAGAGGCTCCCCACCTCTTCACTGATTTACGACGTTGTTTGGTTTCCGTCTGGCTGGGTCGCTTGAGGAGGAGGGCCCAGGGAAAGGGGGGGAGCTGCGACGGCGACGACGACCACTCAAAGAGAAAAGCGCCTCACACGTGCCGACAGGGTCGGCGGATGATGCGGTCTCGCCTTTTCGGGCTTCCCACGCTTCAAGACCCCCTGATCGGCATCTCCCGCCACACGCGGTGGGCGCGGCGGGCGGTTGTACCCCACGAGCCCGGACGGACATTCCGCCTGAACCGTTACGATATCTCTCCTTCTCTCTCTCTCTCTCTCTTTCCCCCTCTCTCTCTCTTGCCCCTCTCTCTCTCTCTCTTTCCCCTCTCTCTCTCCTTCTCCTTGGCCGTTGCTGTTCCCTCTTCGTTCCGTGCACCTCGCTGGGCGCTCCTCGAGTCCCCCACCTCCACCCTCGACCCTGCGTTCTCGTTCCTTGCCCTCGCTCCTCGCTCCACTCACGAGCTGCGGGGTGCGTCATAGAGCAGCGGCGCCAAGAAGCACAGCAGTCTGCAGCAACAGCAGACAGCAGCAAACCGCAGGAGGCCACGGCAGCAGAGCAAGACCACACAGCAGCAGCAGCAGCAGCAGCAACACGCCGCAGGCGGCAGCAGCCTGCAGCAGCAGGCAACAAAAACAAGCAGGGGCGAAGTTCGGGCCCGACACCAACCCGAAAGCCTTTTCTGCAACATTTCAGTCTTGGTCCAACTCCTCCTTCTCCTCCTCCTCCTCCTCCTCCTCCTCCTCCTCCTCCTCCTCCTCCTCCTCCCCTCCCTCCTCCTCGTGCCATTTCGGACTTGTTTCGTGGCCGGCAGGCCGCGGGTCAGCCCCAGTACTTTAAGCTACTGCGCCGGGCTCAGCGCGTGCGAGAAGGGCGTGCAGTGGCAGTGGGCGCTCGCGCTGCTGACCGAAATGCGGGAGTTGAGGCTGGAGCCCGACGTCGTCAGCCACAGCGTCGGGATTAGCGCGTGCGCGAAGGGCGGGCAGTGGCAGCCGGCGCTGGCGCTGTTGAGCGAGATGTGGGAGGTGAAGTTGGAGCCCAACCTCAGTTACCCCTAGCAACGCCGGGAGATCCGCGTGCCAGAAGGAATATGTTTCAAAACGATAAAAATTGGGCCCGCCTGGCCCTGGCACGCTCTAAAGTTCGGCGGCGAGCGAGGGGGGGAATGGAGGAGGGGCGGGCCTTCTCGGAAGTCTCGGAAGTCCCGCGGCCTTCCGAGAAGTTGCCTGAGCCTCCCCCGAAGACAGACAAAAAACTTCTCAGAAGGCGCGGGGGCTTCTGAGAAGTCCCGCCGCCTTCTGAGAAGGCCTTCTCCTTCTCATTTCCCCCCCTCGCCCGCCGCCTAAAAGTCCCCTGGTGCGGGTCCAAGGCGGGCCACAAAGGCCCCACAACAGTCCAAGCTGGCCCGAGGTGCCCCGCACTCCCAGGGCACAGCAGGGTCGCAAAGCAGCCCATGAGGGTTCCAAGAGGCCTCCAAGCCAGGGCCACGAGAGGCCAGAATCATTGATATCCGTAGGTTTTGAAGGATTTTAGGGTTCGCGTTTTTTCTTTGAGTTTTCGAAGCTGCAACAACAGGTCCCCAAGATCGCACCAAGACGGCCCAAACAACAGGCCCCCAAAGCCAGCAGGCCCCAAAAGGGCCCCCAGACAGCCCAAGAGGGCCACGAGAGGCCCCCAAGGCGGCCCCCAAGACGGCCCCCAAATGGGAGAACTCAAGCTGACATTTCGCGCCCTCGGCTCCAAAATGGTACCAGATATTATCAGTACCAGATATTATCAGCAGGGCCCCAAGCGGCCCCCGAGAAGTCCCAAGAGGCCCCCAAGAGGTGCAAATCACGCCAAAGAGGCCTCCGAGCTGCCCCGAAACGTCCCCCAGACAGCCTGCAAGAGGCGTCCGAGAGAACATCCTTCAGAGAGCTCCGGGACCGCGCCGGCCACCCAGGAGAAGAAGGTGCCCATGCACCTTCTTCTTCGGATAGGCTCCACTCTGAACTGACGACTCGCAGGGGAGCTCTCCCTGAGAGTGCTTCGGGCAGGCCGGCCGCAGGGGGCAAAGGCCTGCAGTGCCTTCGGATTTTTGTCCGAGCCTGTGCAGCCTGCGCACGTCCTCCGACCTCCCCAGGCGGCCACAGCCACCAGGGAACCTCGTTGGACCTTGGGGTGCGCAGTGTCTCGCATCCGACAGTTAGCGCGACCTCCCCATGCAGCGTCCGACCCTCTTCGGAGCCGCTGTGGCTCAGGGCAGCGCGGGTGCCCGCGCGTGCCCTCGCGCCCCGCGCCCGCGCCGCGCGCGGGCGCGCTCGCTGCTCCAGGAGCAGCGCGCCCCCCCGCAGGAGGACGCCCAAGGGGCTGTTCCCACCGCCTCCGCCGCGGAGGCCCGAGGGCAGCGCCCGCCGCCCGCCGGGCCCCAGTGGCTCCAGCGGCCCGCTGGCGACGGTGCCTCCTGCCCACCGCCGTCTCTCTCGGCGGGCGGCAGTCGGGGCGGGCCGGGAGGAGGCCGCGGCCCGGGCCGCGGCGGAGGCAGAGCGCCACGCGGCGGGGACGATGCGCGAGATCGCAGCCGCTCCCGCCGCGGCCGCGGGGAGCAGCCAGCGCAGCCTGGCGGAGGTCGAGGGGGCAGCCGCGGCGCAGCGTCGGGGCGCGAGCCGCCCGCGGCCCCGACGGAGAGACGCGGGAGCGGCCGAGATGTTGCTGGCGGCCGGGATGTTGCTGGCACCGACCGCAGAAAAACCGCAGTCTTCGGCGGCTGGCCCAGGATCCCGCGCGCAGGGCCGACTGGGGGATAGTTCCCCAGGCTCCACCCGGATCTGCTCCTCGGGTGGGGTGTCACGATCGAGATCGAGCTCGAGGCTGGCGCAAGGCCACGAAATCCGCACCATGCTTCGAATCGGGGTCCTCAGGGCCGCAGGCGAGTTCGATATGGCGAAGATTCATCAGCGTTCATTGACGTGCCAGAATCGTCGGACGAGCCAGCGCCAGTTCTTCGGTGGTGTGATGGTTGCCTGGGTGGTTTCGATGCGGCCGTCCTGCACGTCGATAAGTGGAGGTGCCTCCAGGAGCCGTCTGTGCCCTACCCGTCGGCGCCAGTGCCCGACGGAGGCCCGCCGCGCGACAGGCTGCGCGGCCCTCCCAGCCTGGGGGATGCCGACGAAGGCAGAAGTTCCCGCGGTGGCGGGCCGGGCTCAGCAGGCCGCGCCGCTCCCCCCCGGGCTTGGCGGAGGCGTCGGCGCCCGCGTCGGTCCGCCCAGCGAGGGGCGGCGTGACCTGATGGAGCGGCTCGGATCGCCAAGCCGCCGATGACCTCGGTGCCGCGCGCAGCAAGCCCAGCCGCGAGGCGCCCGCGGACAAGGTCGAGGAAACCGACTCAGACGAGGAAGACGACCTGCCGCCGCAGACTAAGGACCTCGCGGCAGCCCAGGTGCGAGGCCGCCGAGGCAGGTCGAGGAGCTTGGGCGCTGGGCTGGCGCAGCCGAGTCCAAGCGCTCTGCCAGCAGCTCGCCCCGCCGCGCCAGGATGGCCACCGCGAGGCTAAAAGGCAACGTTTCGGCGTCGACGTCGCAGCTCCAGCGGCCCATCAGAGGAGGGCTCGGCATCAAGTGCGTCGGACTCGCTTGTTCATCCGGCCGCGCATCTCAGTGCATGATGGAAGAGAAGCCGGGCGAGTTGACGAAGCGCGCGTTGGTAGAGATGAGTGAGTACTTGGGCAAGCAAGGACTGGTGACTGATCCGACCAGCGCTGTGATGTACGCGTGCCTCGCCAGCGTCTTCGCCCCTTCCACTTGTGGCACGCCAGTTCTCGGAACGACCGGGAGACGGGGGCGCTCGCGAAGGTGGCGGACTGCATCCTCGATTGCGACGGCGACCGGCACTGAATCGTCGACCCCCAGGAAAAGATGAAAAATATGGGAAGTGTGGGGGGGAAAACGAAAACCAAAACAAAAACGGAACATATAGGGGGGATTGGTGTGTAGTTATTTGTGTGTGTGTGTGTTTGTGTGTGTGTGTGTGTGTGTGTGTGTGTGTGTGTGTGTGTGTGTGTGTGTGTGTGTCCCTGGGCTCCTTTGTTCACGGCGGAGTGCCGCTCCCACGTCCGTCCTCGAGGCACGTCAACGCAGTCGCGCGAGGAGGGCGGAGGTGGGTGCCCGCTGGTGGGCGGCCCGCCCTTGAGGCTGGCCCTTCGGGGGCTCGGTGGTAGGGGACAATCTGGATTCGTTAACTGACCATTGAACCGTTTTACACCATGACACACATGTGGACAAAGAGTGTATTACACGATTACATCATGTTGGGCTACACACTTACACCATTACTCCATATTGCACATTGTATACCATTCACCACTGTACCACTACACCATGACATTTTTCGGTGAGCGAAGTAGGCGGTTCACTCCAGTTCACCACTACACCATGTGGGTGACTGGGTCAAACTTTACACCATTACACCATTCCTGGGAACAACGTGTAAGCATTTCACCATTACACCATCACACCATTACACCATCTGGGGGGACGGTGCGAGGTTTTTTCTAAGGCGTTGCGTTGCTGAGGGGGGGGGCGGGGGTAAGGCTGGCTGTCTGGATCAGGATTCTGGGGAGGGGATGGGGGGCGACCCCCCCCCAAAGGATCGTTAGAGAGGTGTTAGGCACACCAACGCCTTCAGCAACCCGCCCAGCCAGCCGCCAGATGGACCAATTTGCTGAGGGTGGAGCCGTCCCCGAGGAACCTCCAAGGGGGGTTCAGAAACAACCCGTCCAGCCAGTTGCCGGCTGGACCAGTCTGTTGAGGGGGGGTGTTGGTCTCCCCGACGGATCGCGATGCAATGGTGTAGTAGTGTAGTGGTGTAGTGGCTTGCTAGGGGTGTTTCTTAACCCCCCGTTAGGGATCTTGGGTCGGGCTAGCTGGCTAGATCAAGCTTCTGAGGGGTGGGCGAACCCCCCCTGGTAAGGATCCTTAGGGGGTAGGCGGGGTGAAGAAACACCCTATATTCTTCTCCTCGTACTCCTCCCCCTCCTCCTCCTCCTCCTCCTCCTCCTCCTCCTCCTCCTCCTTTTCGTCTTCCTCTTCCTCCCTTTCCTCCTTTTCCTCCTCCTTTTCCTCCTCCTCTTCCTCCTCCTCCTCCTTCTCCTTTTCCTCCTCCTCCTCCTCCGTTTCCTCCTCCTCCTCCTCATTCCTCCCCCCCCCCACACCTTAAGGATCCTTGCGGGGGGACATGGACATTTCACTTGCGAGCGCGATCTTGCTCACAAATGTACAACATCCATACACAGGGTGGTGTGGTGGTATCATGGTGTAAGATCTGCACCATCCCATCAAAAAGGTGTAAGTTTGCAATGGTGTAAAAACCATAACCGTTCCACATAATGGTGTGTTGGTGTAATGGTGTGCGTCGCAAGTCCACAACTTTGTGTACTGGTGTAGTGGTGTCGCGCGTACAGTATTCGCATCATGGTGTAACGGTGTACTGGTGTAAAGCTTGCACCATTCAACAACGTTGTTTCGTGGTGTGCTGGCGTATCGCGTAAACCATGGTGTAAAATGGTGCAATGGTGTAGTGGTGTAACGCTCACACCATTTACTACAACAGTGTAAGAGTGTAGTGGTGCAGGTTTCCGTTCTAAGATCCAGAGCGCCGCCCCGCTGGCTGGCGGGTCCGTTGTTTGCCGCCGCTGGCCGCGCAGGTGCCTAACGCGCCGCGGCCGAATAAAAAGGCGCGCGCGCGCAGGACGGGGGATGAACGAAGGAGGGAACACTAGACCACACGGATGCCTGTTAATTTCCAGCATTGGCTGCAATGCCACCCTAGGGGTTCAAGATCATCTCGGGGCGGCCCGTGACGCCCGCATGAACCCCCGACGGCAAGCAGCAGCATCGCGGAGCAGCTGCATGCAATGCCAACCGCATGCAACAGCGGCAGCAAACAGCAGCTCGCAGTAGCATGCGCGGAGTGCAAAGGTCGAGTCACGCGTCATCACGTCAGCCTTTCGGCATTATGTCCACCACCACGCGCCTGTTCGTGTAGACTTCGTGGACGGAGTCCACGGGTCAGCCTTAGTCTCTCTTGCAATACCGGGAACAATGCATGCGAGAAGGGTTTCTGGACAGAGTGCTTTCCAGCGGCTCCGAGTCGCTGAAGAGGGCGCCCCGACAGCCACGCTCCAGAGGCCGCCCCGGCGGCCCACAGACGGCTCCGAACCGCTCAGTTGGGCGCTTCCATGGCCCCAAGACGGCTCCGACCCGCTCCAGGGGCCAACCCCTCGGCCCCAGGGGCGCTCCGAGCAGTTCAAGAGGCCGCTCCGACGGCGCCAAAGGCCCCGCCCCCAACGCAGGCCAGGAACCTCCGACGACGGCCTTGGAGGAGTCCCCAGGGCAGCCCCGAGACGCAAAAAAGTGTACCATTCCCCCCCAGGAAATTCACATGTGTGGCATTCTCGTGCTTTTCGTTTCCCACGCCTCCACAAAGGCCACAGAGCCCCCCATTGCCCTGAGATGTCCCCGTCAGGGCCCCAAGATTTGCCCAGGACGGCCCAAGTGGGGCCCAAGACGGCCCACGAGGCACCCAAGACAGCCCCAGAGACGGCCCCATGCGGCCCAAGACGGCCCGAACAAGGCCCCGTGAGCGCCCAAGACGGCTGATTGCGGCCCCAAGACGGCCCAGAAGGCACCCAAGGCAGCCCCAACAGCCGCTCAAGGCGGTCCGAGACGGCCCCCAGGCGGCCCAAGAGGCGCCCAAGACGGCCCAAGACGGCTCCGAGACGGCCCAAACGGCACTTACGAGAGCCCAAGAGGGCCCCCAAAGAGGGGCCCTCGAAGCCGAGAAGAAGCCCACAGAGGCCCCACGCGGCCCCCAAAAGGCCCTCAGTGGCTACAGAATTCACTCCACCAGAGGGGGGGGCGGACGAGAGGTGAGAGGCAGAACGCAGGCCCCAGCAGCCGTCTTCGATGCTCCGAGTGCCTACGATTGACGATCCAAGATCCAGGGCATGCAGGATCGAGGCAAGAAGGTGGAGGAGGAGGTGCGGAGGCGGAGGAGCAGGAGGAGGAGGAGGAGGAGGAGGAAACCCGAGGAGGCCCAGAAGAAAGCCTCATGAGGGTCCAGATGACGTGCGGAGCTCTGAACGTAGCCCCAAGACGGCCCGAGAGGAGCCCAGACGGACCAAGAAGGTCCCAAAAGGTCCCGAAGAGGTCCACAAGAGGACTTGAGAGGGCCTCAACCCCCCAAGAGACCCAAGGAGGCTTCAGAGCTGCCTCCAAGAGAGTGGACCCGGCGCTCTTGACACGCCCGAGAGAGCTTCGCCTTCAACAGAACTCCAACACAACGGCGCCCCCAACGTAGCGGAGCACGTCCGACCCAACAGCGGTTTCTGTTAACAATTGTTTACATGTTATACCCTCTTGAAGCTCTCTTGGGCCCTTCCCTAACGATCCTTGCGAGCCTCCCCAGCGCTCCCGGTCGCTTTCTCCGAAGGCCCCCCGAGCCTTTCCCCGGGCGCTCCTGAGACGCCTCAGATGGGCTTCGACTTCGACGCACCTCCCCGAGAGACATCAAAAACTGCCCACAACAGGAGGGGGGCGAGCGAGGCCAAGCTGCTGGAGCGGTGCAAGAGCTCGGACACGATTGCAGCGGTCTCGCTGCCGCCGCCCCGGCCGCCGACGTGCTTATACCAGGCGATTTCAAGCATGGATTAAGGGGGCGTGGATTAGCGACGGGTCCCGCTTCCACGGGAAATCGCGGATTACTGCCGCCGAGCAAGGCGGCACCGGCCGCATTTTTGGGAGGGCATCTCCCCCGATCCATGGGTTTGGCGACCGCGCGCCAAATCCATGGATCGCTAATCCATGTTTGCGCCCCCCCGATTGTAAGTTTTCGAAAACATCTCCGCCGCTTCTCCGAGAACCATTCCAGAAAGATGGCGTGGACGGAGTCCACGGGTCAGCCCTAGTCTTCTCTACAATGCAGGGACCCCTGCGTGCGGGAAGGGTCCTTGTCTTGATGGATTGAAAATGCCCCACAACGACTCCGGGGACGCCCCAGAGGCGCTCACGCGGCCCCAGTGGCGCCCAGGACGGCCCCAGACACCCCCAAAACGGTCCAAGAGCGCTCCAAGAGAGCTCCAGACCGCCGAAAACGGCCCCGACAAGGCCCAGGAGGCCTCCACGACGGCCCCCGAGACGCTCAAGAGGCGTCCCAGGATGGCCCCCGCAGGTCCAAATCATTGTTTTTCCAATGAAAAACGTCGAATTTAGCACACACTGCTTGTCGGGAGTATGGCGCAGAAGATGGGACAAGAGGCCCCCACGGCCGCCCCAAGACGGCCCAAGAGGCCCCCCAGAGGCACGAAATCCGGCCCGCGAGAGCGTCCAGAGACCCAAGAGGCGCCCAACACGGCCCCCAGGCGGCCCCAAGAGGCTCCCAGGAGGCGCCCAGGACGGCCCCAGACACCCCCAAGACGGCCTAAGAGCGCTCCAAGAGAGCCCAAGACCGCCGAAAACACACCCAAGACGGCCCAGGAGGCCTCCACGACGGCCCCAGAGACGCCCAAGAGGCGTCCAAGGATGTCCCCCAGAGGCGAAAATCATTGTTTTCCCGAAGAAAAACGCTCACTTCCAGCATGCGCTGCTTCACAGGAATATGGCGCAGAAGCTGGTTCCAGGTCCCCACGACCCCCCCAAGACGGCCCAAGAGGCCCCCAAGACGCACGAAAACCGGCCCGAGAGGGCGTCAAGAGAGCCCAAGAGGCGCCCACAACGGCCCCAGGGTGACACCAAGAGGCTCCCAGGACGGCCCAAGGTATCCCCAAGACGCTCCAAGAGCGCTCCACGACAAGCCAAGACTGCCTTTTGCGGCGCCAAGACGGCCCAAGACGCCTCTACGACGGCCCAAGAGACGCCGAAGAGGCTTCCCAGGAGGGCCCCAGGAGGGCCCGACACGGCCCAAGACGCACCCAAGACAGCCCCAAGAGCAGTTAACAATGGCCTAAGACGGCCCCACCGCCCCGTCTCCAAGACGGCTGTAGATGCCCCCACCGCCCCGTCTCCAAGCCTTTCCGTTTGGATAGTCTCCAAGACGGTCTCTGGGCCGTCAGGGACGGCTCCAGAGGCGCCCGAGACGGCTCAAGAAACACCAAAGACAACCCCAAGAGCGCCCAATATTTGCCCAAGATAGCTCCAAGACTGTCCCAAGATGCCGAGAGGCGGCCAAGACGGCCCCACATCGCCCCAAGACGGCCCAAGACGCACTCAAGATTGCCCAAGAGGGCTTCAAGAGACCCCCAGGAGGACGAAAAGGGCCCCCAAGCGGGCCCCAAGAGGCGTTGGATGCTTCTCTCTTGGGGAGCGTCGAACTTCCAGTATCGTCTTGGGGGCTTCTTGGACCCACTGCGAGCCATCTCTGCGCCCTTTGGGGACGTCTTGGGGCGGTGCGCTCGAAAGGTCGATTCGTGTCCTCGCACTGGGGCCCGTCTTAGGGAGTTACGTCTCGCCGCCCTCTTGCGGGCCTCCTAGGCCGCGTCCACTGGCCCCATTGTCACCACACTACCACATCAAATTATCATTCGGCCCCGGCGAAGAGCAGATAACTTCTCACGGCTGCCCTCCCCGCAGAAGCTGTGATGAACACAGACTGCGGCGTCAGAAACAGCTGTCATGCCTACATGGGTGCGCTTCCATTGACACCGCCTCCACCACCGCGTTCCTGCCTTCAGGCCTGCTTGCCTGCATCCCTCGCCCACCTCCCCCTCCAGCGGCCACCTCCTCCATCCACACCGTCCCCTCCAACCTCCCCTTACCCGCGAGGCCCCAGAGACGCTCCACTTCCACGTCCAAGCCATGGCGGGCAGATTCCGCGGCCAGAAGTCCGCGGGTCAGCCCTAGTCAGCTACAGCGCTGGGATCAGCGCGTGCGAGAAGTGCGATCAGTGGCTGCGGGCACTGGCGCTGCTCAGCGCCATGCGCGGGGCGAAGCTGGAGCCCGACGTCATTCATCCTGCAATTCCGTGAGCAACGCGCTCGAGAACCCCACCAGCCTGAGAGCTGAGTGGGGGTATGAGGCGGCCCAGCACTTCGTCCGGCGAGCAGGACAGGGGGACAGTGTGGGTCCGGGGAGCTTCTCTTGCTCTGGCTCTGCCCCTGGGGGCCGTTTGCGGGCCCCCGGGACCCTCGAGGACGGATCCGGGGCGCAAGCTTCTGACCCCGTGGCCGCCTCCGACGCCAGTCTGCCGAGTGCAGGCGGCTCCCACGAGGCCATGGGGCCGCTGTTGGTCGGCCCCGGGCCTCCTGGCGCAGGCCGTGCAGGGTGCCCGGCTGGCCGAGAGGCCCGACACGGCCCAGGGCGCCCCGGGACGGCGTGGGGCTGCGGCAGGGCGTCGGCGACTGCAAACAGTGTGTGTGTGTGTGTGTGTGTGTGTGTGTGGTTACCCCGGGGTGCGGCCTGCGCTCTGCGTCGTGGGGGGGCCTCGGGGGCACCACGCCGCCCTCGCCGGGGCGCGACGGACGAGCTCTGTCGAGGTCCTCGCCCGCCCCCCTGCAGGTTACAAACCACACCTGTTGCAGAGCACACCTCTCGGAGTGGCCCAGGAGGGCCCGAAGAGGCTGCAGACCGCAGGGTGGCTCTGTGTAGCGTTGCTCTGCGCATGGCCCCCGCGATGGCTCTTCGCGGGTCTCCCATGGGGCATCAGGTGGCTCCTCGCAGGTGCTCGTCGCGCTTGGCACCCACTGGGCCCGAAGACCTTCTGGATGACCCCCAGACCATTTCAAGTTCGGTAGCAGATCATGGGAGCCTTTTGTACCCTCGCAATTTTGTCTTTAGCGCCGACTAGCGTCGATTAGCGTCTGGGAGCCGATGAGATAGCCGCGATTTAGCGTCGATTTAGCGTCGATTAGCGTGGATTTAGCGTCGACTAGCGTGGATTCGCAAGGGCCGACAAGATGGTATAGGCTCCCATGAGTTGCAACCGAAATTTCAAGGGCCCAGAGGACCCGATTATCGCCCCGAGGCGCGCCAGAAGAGGGCCACGATCTGGCAAACGAGGGCCCTGGGGCAGCTCCGGGAGGCCCCCAAGAGGGCATCAGGAGGGGACAGGAGGAGGCGGAGGAGGAGGAGGAGGAGGAGGAGGAGGAGGAGGAGGAGAGGAGGAGGAGGAGGAGGAGGAGGAGGAGGAGGAGGGGGAGGGGGGGGGGGAGGGGGAGGAGGAGGAGGGAGGAGGAGGAGAGAGGAGGAGGAGGAGGAGGAGGAGGAGGAGGGGAGGAGCAGGAGGAGGAGGAGGAGGAGGAGGAGGAGGAGGGGGAGGAGGAGGGGGAGGACGAGGAGGGGGAGGAGGAGGGCAGCGCTCACAGCAGGCAGGCAAGCGAGCAGAGCAGAGCCAGCGGCGGCAGCCGGGGCGGCGAGCACCCACGAGCAGCGGCAGGCCCAGGGGAGCCCCAGTTGCGGTGCCCCACGTAGGGTTATGTCGGGCGTGCCCCTCTACAGGAGGAATATTCAAGCATAGCAGAAAATAGTCAGGGGACGATTTTTGCTTTACTATTGTTTTCCATTTCGGTATAGTTTGGGACTATTTTCCATTTTCTTCCAAACTCCGCCTGTAGGGGGACATGCCCGACCCAAATGTAGGGCAACGAAGACTGTCATAAACAGAAATACTCGGAGGTCCGCGCGGATTTCTCGGATCGGCGCTGGAGCCCCCTGGCGGCGCCGGAGAAATCCGCACGGGCCTCTGAGTTTTTATGTGTATGTCATTCTTCATTCCCCCACCAAGAGGTCTTCAAGAAGGTCTCAAGAATGGGCTAGCCAGCGAACGCAGCCAGCGAACACAGCCAGCAGGCAGGCAGCAGAGCCAGCAGCAGCAGAGCCAGCGGCATCGGCAGTCAGCAGAAGAAGTCGTCGGCAGTCCTCAAGAGCAGGCAGGACCCGCAAGCATCAGCAGCGAGAGTCAGCAGCAGTATGGATCCACATTCGTCGAAGTTGCTCGTGGTGTCCCCCCATGGGTGTACACACTTGTCATCTACAGCGCTGGGATCAGCGCGTGCGAGAAGGGCGGGCACTGGAAACAGGCTTTGGCGCTGCTCAGCGAGATCTCGGATTCGAAGGTGAAGCCCGACGTCATCTCTCCTACCTTGCGGGAAGCTGTGCGTGCGAGGAGGGGATGTGTCCAGAGTTGCCCTTCTTGCCCCCCGGAGGACGCCCTCCTGGGGCAGCTTTGAGGAGGGGCCCGGACCGCTCCGCAGCGCCCCGAGAACGTTCTCTCCAGCGGCCCGTTGGATTCTCGGAGTTTTTCCCAACCATCCTGTGGTGTTGGGTCCTCGTTTTGAAGAGACGGTGCCCCGCGTTCCTCTCCTCCTCCTCCTCCTCCTCCTCCTCCCCCTCCTCCCTCTTCCCATCGTCATCATCATCATCATCATCATCATCATCATCATCATCATCATCATCATCATCATCATCATCATCATCATCATCATCATCATCAGCATCATCATCATCATCATCATCATCATCATCATCATCATCGTCGTCGTCGTCGTCGTCTTCATCATCATCATCATCATTATCATTATCATTATCATTATCATCATCATCATCATCATCATCATCATCATCATCATCATCATCATCATCATCATCATCATCATCATCATCATCATCATCATCATTATCATTATCATCGTCATCATCATCGTCATCGTCACCCACGCCCATTTCGGCACACCCCTCACACGTTTCGTGGCCCCATAGGGAGCTCCACCGAAGGCCCCAGTGGCTGGTTCGCATGCCTCCCCACCACCCATTTCGGCACACCCCTCACACGTTTCGTGGCCCCATAGGGAGCTCCACCGAAGGCCCCAGTGGCAGGGTTCGCATGCCTCCCCACCACCCATTTCGGCACACCCCTCACACGTTTCGTGGCCCCATAGGGAGCTCCACCGAAGGCCCCAGTGGCAGGGTCCGCATGCCTCCCCACCACCCATTTCGGCACACCCCTCACACGTTTCGTGGCCCCATAGGGAGCTCCACCGAAGGCCCCAGTGGCAGGGTCCGCATGCCTCCCCACCCCCCATTTCGGCACACCCCTCACACGTTTCGTGGCCCCATAGGGAGCTCCACCGAAGGCCCCAGTGGCAGGGTCCGCATGCCTCCCCACCACCCATTTCGGCACACCCCTCACACGTTTCGTGGCCCCATAGGGAGCTCCACCGAAGGCCCCAGTGGCAGGGTCCGCATGCCTCCCCACCACCCATTTCGGCACACCCCTCACACGTTTCGTGGCCCCATAGGGAGCTCCACCGAAGGCCCCAGTGGCAGGGTTCGCAGCTGCCCCAGTCCCCACCACCCCATCTCGGCACACCCCTCACACGTTTCGTGGCCCCATAGGGAGCTCCACCGAAGGCCCCAGTGGCAGGGTCCGCATGCCTCCCCACCCCCATTTCGGCACACCCCTCACACGTTTCGTGGCCCCATAGGGAGCTCCACCGAAGGCCCCAGTGGCTGCGGGCGCACAGCGGCGCCGCACCCATTTCGGCACACCCTTCACACGTTTCGTGGCCCCATAGGGAGCTCCACGGAAGGCCCCAGTGGCTGCGGGCGCATGGCGGCGCCGCGCCCATTTCGGCACACCCCTCACACGTTTCGTGGTAGGGAGCTCCACCGAAGGCCCCTCATGCTGCGTCCGCATGGCGGCGCCGCATTCATTTCGGCACACCCCTCACACGCTTCGTGGCCCCATAGGGAGCTCCACCGAAGGCCCCAGTGGCTGCGGGCGCATGGCGGCGCCGCACCCATTTCGGCACACCCTTCACACGTTTCGTGGCCCCATATGGAGCTCCACCGAAGGCCACAATGCTACCGCCCTCATGCGTCCCGCACGCCCAGGACAGCGTTTCGTGGCACGCCTTTCGTGGCCGCATAAGGAGCCCCACCGAAAGCGGCACCCACAAAGCGTTATTCACAATTGCATATGGTTGGGTCCTTCGCCAGGATAATTGTTCCCCCGGGCCTCGAGCGGCGCTCGGGCGGCCCCACAGGCCCCCAAACAGCACGCCACGGCGGTGCCGCGTTGGCCTCGCGGTCGCTTCTCCCTCGCGACGGTGTTCGCTGCACACTCGTGCGGGCGCCGCGTCGCGCGACTCCACCGCCGTCGTCGCTGCCGCGAGCGGCGACGCCACCGCCGTCGTCGCCGCCGCCGCCGCCGCCGCCGCCGCCGCCGCTGTCCACACAACGCGGACATCGGGCAGATGCCGTGGCCGGCAGGACGCGGGGCCGGCCCTCGTCGGCTACACCGCCGGGATCAGCGCGTGCGGGAGGGGTGAGCAGTGGCAGCTGGCGCTGGCGCTGTTGGGCGAGATGTGGGAGGTGGCATTGGAGCCCAACGTCATCGACACTGCAGTACTACAGGCTCGGCGCGTGCCGGGGGCTGCGCCCGCCTCGCCAGGGCGGCGCCTCGGCGGCCCCGCTCGTGGAGCGGCGCCGCCCTGGCCCAGGAGAGCCCCGCGGGTGCCCTGGAAGGCCCCTCTGCGGCGCCCCTCTGCGGCGCAAGAGGCCTCCCAGACGGCCCAGGAAGGCCCCAACCGTGGCTCCACCAGGCTCCCAGGTGGCCTCCAAGAGGGCCACGAGGAGGCAAAACGATCGATACGATCCATGTCTTTCTCACACTTCCTCTCGCGACCGCTCTTCTGGCCACGACGCCCAACCCGGCCCGAGAGCTCTCCCAAAGCTCCCCAATTCCCCAGGAGGTCGCCCAGAGAGCTCCCCGACGACGGCCTCTGGGACTCCCAATGCGGCCGCGCAGCCCCCCACGACGGCCCCAAGGGAGGCCCAACACGGCCAACTCTGGAGCGCCCCCCGTCCCTCCCCCCCCACTGCCAGCAAGCCCCCAGGAAGCCCCCCAGGGTCTTCCAGACGGCCTCCTGCACGCTCCCCAGTTGCCAGTTTGAAACATGCCCCTATCCCTATGTTTACCTCGATGCCGATCTTAAGGATTCCCTCAGTTTCTGAGGGCCTATCCCTAAGATTGTTCTCGCTTTTTGCTCGCCCATCTTAGGGATAGGGATAAGTTCGAGGCTGGTTACCCAGCGGCTCCCGGAAGGCCTCCAGCAGCATGCTTCGAAGGTCATCTATCATTTAAACTATTGCACCCCACGAGCTCCCGGTAGGCCTCCAGCAGCTCCCTCACAAAGGGTTCCGATAGACTCCTAGAAGCACCAGATGATTGAAATCAACAACACTGCACATCTCTTGGGATACCTCTCGCGCGGGAGGAGATTCAGAAAATAGCTGCCCGATACAGCCGCGGACACCCAGGAACGCTGTTTCTGCGACCCATCCCGCGCCGAGCGTGTCCCAAGAGGTGCGGGGGGTGGTTTTTCCCAATGATTTTGGGCCTCCTCCTTCTCCTCGTCGTCGCTCTCCTCTTCCACAGGCGCCACTGCCCGCGGAGATGGGGCTACACGATTTCCCGGAGGAGGTCCCGGAGGAGGGAGAGGACAAATGAGGAGGAGGACGAGGAGGACGAGGAGGACGACGAGGAGGGGGAGCAGCACGAGCCAGAGGACGATGCCGGACCAAGCACGAAGAGCAGGAGGAGGAGGAGGAGGAGGAGGAGGAGGAGGAGGAGGAGGAGGAGGAGGAGGAGGAGGAGCTGCTGCTATTGCTTCTGCCCATGCCCCTGGATCTGCTACCGCTGATACTGCTAGCGCTGCTCGGGACGCCCTTGACACCATCAAGCAAACAGCGCACCCTGAAGCAATGAGCAGCAGCAAGGGCACTCTGATCATTGGCATTCGTGGACGGCCACGGGTCAGCCCTACAGGGCCGTTTTTTTATATAAATATACATGCTCCGCGTGCGGATCATGTATTGAAACATGCAGGGAATTAGTATTAAAAACAACGATGATTGCATGCGTAAATTTATTCATACATTGATTGATTGATCATGTATTCAAATTCCTTGTTTTGAAAGTAAAAAATCCGATGTATAAAAAAACTGCCCTGTATCTATCCTACAACACAGGGAGCAGCGCGTCGTGCGCTGCTCCGGTGGCAGCACCCGGGGGGGCCTCCCACGAGGTCTGGAAGGCCCGCCGAGAGGGCCTGCGCCTCCCGGACGGCCCAGGCGAGTCCAAGAGGCCTCCAAGTGCGACGAAGATGCCTCCGATGCGGCCGAGGACGGCCTCAAGATGGCCCCCAAATGGGGTCCAGACGGCCTCAGAGGGTCCAAGACAGCCCAAGACGGCCGCCAGACGGCCACAATACCTTCCAAACGGCTCCCAGAAGAGTACGCCCAGCAGGGCTTTCTGATGCAAGCCAAAGGTGATTTCACGCAGGGCTTTCTAACATTTTGAGCATACCCGACTTCTGGGCCCTTGCAGCGACTAAGATCTCCCCAGGCAGGGCCAAGAGGCATGGACGACCCCAACACGGCTCAAGAGAGCCTTCAGACGGCCCAAGACGGCCCCAGAAAGCCCCAGGCCGCTCCGGGAGGACGTGGAACCGCCTCCAGATGGTACCCGGGAAGCCTCCAGTGGTAGCCCCAGGGCGCCGGAACCGCGTGAGGAAATAGGGCCGCATTTCCTCAGATGGTTCTGGCCTTCAGTCGGGCATTTCCCTCTAGTAGTCTACAGGAGGAGCATTCAAAAATAGTACAGACAGAATATGTGGACGATTTGTCGATCATTTTGGGGTTATTCCCAGCCATCCTGTGGTGTTGGGTCCTCGTTTTGAAGAGACGGTCCCCGCGTCTCCTCCTCCTCCTCCCTCCTCCTCCCCCTCCTCCCTCCTCCATGCGTTTCACCCACCCAGTACAGCGCTTCGTGGGCCCATAGGGAGCTCCACGTAAGGCCCCAAGGGGGGGGTACCAAATGCGTCCGCCACACCCAGTACAGCGTTTCGTGGCCCCATAGGGAGCTCCACGTGAGGCCCCAGGGGGGGGGACCACATGCGTCTACCACACCCAGTACAGTTTCGTGGCCCCATAGGAAGCCCCACGTAAGGACTAAGAGGGGGGGACCACATTCTTCTGCCACACCCAGTACAGCGTTTCGTGGCCCCATCGGGAACTCCACGTAAGAGCCCAGTTTGGGGTACCACATGCGCCTGCCACACTCAGTACAGCGCTTCGTGGCCCCATCGGGAACTCCACGTAAGAGCCCAGTTTGGGGTACCACATGCGCCTGCCACACTCAGTACAGCGCTTCGTGGCCCCATAGGGAGCTCCACCGGAGGCCCCAGTGGGGGGTACCACGTGCGTCTGCCACACCCAGTGCAACGTTTCGTGGCCCGATAGGGAGCTCCACCGAAGGCCCCAGTGGGGGTGGCCACATGCGTTCGCCACACCCAGTACAACGCTTCGTGGCCCATAGGGAGCTCAACGTAAGGCCCCAGTGGGGGTGACCACATGCGTCCGCCACACCCAGTACAGCGCTTCGTGGCCCCACAGGGAGCTGCACCGAAGCCCCAAGGGGGACAACCCAAATGCGTCCCACACGCCCAATTTGGCAGTTTTATTTCACCCACCCCGTACAGCGCTTCTTGGCCCCATAGGAAGCTCTACCGAAGCCCCCAGTGGGACCGTCCGCATGCGTCCCGCACGCCCAATTTGGTATTTTCACCCACCCAGTATAGCGTTTCGTGGCTCTAGTAGGAGCTCCACCGGAGCCCCCAGTTGGACTGTCCGCGTGCGTCCCGGAAGCCCGATTAGGCATTCTCACCCACCCAGTACAGGGCTTCGTGGCCCCATAGGGAGCTCCACCGACGGCCCCAGTGCTATCGCCCGCATGTGTTCCTCCTCACCTAGTGCAGCGCTTCGTGGCCCCATAGGGAGCTACACAGAAGAAGATATTCACAATTGTCCGCCCGCCGATTTGTCATGTTTTCGCAGTGCGGCCAGCAGTCCGGTTGCCTCGCAAGGTTGTGTTGTTTCGCCTCGCAGCTCGAGCTCGCCCGATCGGTCTCGGTCGAAAGCCCTCGATTGCCCCCCTGGCCCCAGCGCTGCGTCGTCGACCGCTGGTGATGGCACTGGGGGCCCAGGAGTGGCGAGCGGCGAGCATGGACTCACGACCATCATTAGATATCGCATTCGCACGCGCTGTCATTGCTATGCGAGAGTGATCGGAGGTAAACGCAGGGGCTTGTCCGCATAATGCAAGCTACCAGAGAGCGCTCGTGGTTTGCAGCATCGCCTCGAGAAGGTCGAAAGGATCAGGCTAGGGCTGCCGCCAAAGGCGGTGCAGCCGAAGGCGCAGGCTCGGTGATGTTTTGGGGGCTTGGCCTGGCGGCAGCGAGTCGTCCCTTTTGGCTTGCTCTCCCCTTAGCCGCTCGGCTCCCCTAGGGTCACGCCTGCCGCCAGCCGCGGCCGCCAGTGTTGCGGCTGCTTGAACCCGAGCACGTGCTGCGCAAGCCTGGTCACAGCTGAAAGCACAAGAAGAAGATATTCACAATTGCGGTATACCCACAACTGCGTATGGTTGTGTCCTCCGCCTAGGATAATGTGCTGTTCCTTTGGCAGTCCGCCAGTAGGAGGACATGCCCGACCTACTGCTGGCCTCCCGGCGCAGGGCCCAGGAGGCCCTGCAGGCCTGCGCCAGACAGGCCCGGTGCCGCCCCCAGGAGCGCCCATCATGGGAGACCGCCGGAGGTGTGGGCCCCCGGGCGCACGTCCCCCTGGGGCCCGGGAGGCTCCTGTGGCAGGCATGGGGGGAGGGCCCAGTCTCTCGGGTCTTCCTCCTCCTCCTCCTCTCCTCCTTCTCCTCCTCCTCCTCCTCCTCCTCCTCCTCCTCCTTCCTCTCGGGTCTTCCTCCCTCCTCCTCCTCCTCCTCCTCCTCCTCCTCCTCCTCCTCCTTCCTCCTCCTCCTCCTCCTCCTCCATCTCTGCTTTATCGCGCCCGGTCCTGGGGCACCCCGTCTCCGGGGCACCCCGTCTCCGGGGCAGCTCCACATCGCCAGCGCCTCCTCCGCTGCCTCCTCCAGCTCTCCGGCACCGTGGGCGTGGCTAGCAAAAACGCTCCCGCTGGCTGCTGAGGCTGGTGAGCCGGTGACCCCCCCGCCAATGCTCTTCGAGAGCGGCCGTAAGGTACGCAAATTTGTCAGCGGTGCGCTCTCGGGCATTGGGTGGCTGCGCCGCGGTGAGCATCTGATATGATGTCTACCGGGCAAAGCTGGGGGGGCAGGGGCGCTGGGAGGGCCCGCCGGGAGGGCCTGCGCTTCCCAGACGGCCCAACCGCGTTCCCCTGCCAGGGCACCTGCGGATTTGCGCCACGGGTACACACTAGTCTCTACTACATTGCAGGGCCCAGTGCGTGCCAGAATGGCGCA